TAATTATACCATTGATCCTTAAATATATTAAAGATAAGGGTGACAGAAAAATTTGGTATGATTAATGTTGATGGTTGAACAACATGATGAACATAATGTCACTGAACTGTACATGTGAAGACTGTAGAAATGGCAAATGTTTTATTACTGTATATTTCACACAATTAGACAAATCTTTTCAGCAGAATATCAAGGGAATATATATATGTATATATGTATATGAGAACATGTCGCTGGAAATAAGTATCATATTAATATAAGGTTATACAAGATTTTAAAAACCCATTTCTGATATGCTCACTGAAAGACATGTATGAGAATATTCCTAGCAATTTTATTTATAATAATCCCAGACTAGAAATAACCCAAACGCCCATTAACAGGAGAATAAATAAATAAATTGTAGTATATTCATATAAGGAAAAACTGCATAGCAATAAAAAAATAACAAACCACTGATACACACACCAACATGAATATCACAGACACTCTTTAGGGTAATTAACTGTTTTATATCTGGATCTGGGTGGTAGTTACGTGGCCCTGGTGGCACAGTGGTTAAGCGCTCAGTTGCTAACTGAAAGGTTGGCGGTTCAAACCCACCAGCCACTCTGTGGAAGAAAGATGTGGCAGTCTTCTCCCGTAAAGATTTACAGCCTTGGAAACCATAGGGAGCAGTTCTCTGTCCTACAGGGTCACTATGAGTCGGAATCAACTCAATGGCAACTGGTTTGGTTTTGGTTTATATGTATGTAAAAATTCATCAAGTTGTAAACTTAAGATTGGTGTACTTTATGTACCTAATTGTATGTATTTATATACAACAAAAAAAAGAAAAAAATTGTGACAATCTGCACTCAAAATTACGTATTTTAATTTTGCTAGAAATTTGTAACTTATGAGCTGATTAAATATGATGTGGAGAAAGATGAGCCTGTCCGAGATGGAAATGGATATTGCATCAAAGTTCCCAAAGGTACAGTGGACTTTTGTTAAATTAACCTGTGCCTTTTCTTATTTTGGCTTTTAAGGACTAAGATACTATTGCTAAAATGAATACATGGTAAATTTATCAGAATTGAAAAAAAGAGCTTTATTTAGTGCCCTCATAAATAGTTACAGAAATGCCAAAAGGTGTCAGTTTACCACTACATGTAACCTAATTATAATTTCAATTACAATGAACAACTTCTTGCGTTTGAGGTAAGCATTTTGTAGAAAAGGATATGTAATTATGGTTTTAAAACTATAGTTAGCTTTAGGTGATCTTTACTTTTAAGCTGAAAGTGCTGTGCATTTGTCTGATTATGTATGTAAATAATTATTTAGTAAAAGATTAGCATTGAAAGAATTACAAATGTGTGGTC